CAGCCTTGTTTCACACCATTAGTTATTAGAAAGGGCTCAGAAAGTGCATTGCCATATCTGACTTGGCCGTGCTGATCCTCATGGAGTGAGATGATCATTTTAAGGAACTTGGGGGACATCCTAAATGTTCCAAAATCTGCCACAGACCTTTTCTGCTCACAGTATCAAAAGCTTTGGTGAGGTCAACAAAGGTTACACAGAGACCTTTGTTCTGTTCCCTACACTTCTCTTGCAGTATATGTATACAGATACAGATATATATATATAGACATATACATTAATATCCACACACATACATAAATGTGTGTGTAATATATGTAATATGTATGTATAGGACACACACATATATACACAAATATATATTATATATATATATAAGGCAGGGAAGGAGAATATTATTCCCATGGGATGCACTGAGGCTCTTTCTGAAATCAGTGGGTTATTAAATCCTATGGAAGCAGCAGCCAGAGGGTGGAAATGATTCCATCAAACCCAATCCGTGGCTGCCAGATGGGATGGGAACAACCTTGACTTCCAAGGAAACCCTTTACAAACCATCCCTGAGCCGTAGATGTTTTCCTTGGAGTCCCCTGGGCTGTTTCCCTCCCTGCTCAGTGGGTGCCACCCAATTAAAGGGGATATTTCCCCCTTCAAGGCACTGGAATAATTTGGGGATTTAAATCCATCCTTGCTCTTCAAATCCCTTCTATTTCCATTTATTTTATTAATTTTCCACTTTTTTCATGCCCCTTTCCCAGGTTCCAGCACAGGAGAGGCTCCACTTTTTCCCCATCCCTTTGTTTTTGGGGGTACAATTTTCAAGGCTCTCTTTGCACCAATTAAACCTTAATTAGAGAAGAAATTCGTCCTGGGGCTGGTTTTTATCCCTCCCTCTCCCTCATCCTCAGGGCAGGGAGCCTGGAGCCAGCAGACAATTGAGATTTTATACGTTTATATAATTTATACTTATATTTGATATCTATTTCTGGAGATGTAATTATCCATAATTATGTATTTTCATGGAAAACCCACCATTTGGGATCTATTCCTCCAGAATTCCCCAAATTTAATGCAAATCCTCCAGGAACCAGCCCTAAACCCCTCCTTGAATCAGGATCTGTGGCCATCCCACTGCTAAGGACATCCTCACACGTGTGTTCCCCGTGGAAAAAATGGGAATTTGGGTGGTTTGCATGGGAATCCCTCACAAAAAAGTGGGATTGAGGAGTGGTTCCATGTGTAAAGCAGCACTAGAAGGGTTTATGCAGCACCACCACCTCCTGTATACATGGAAAGATAGATGTTCTATGGCCATAAGAAACAAGGGAATTGTCATTCCCAGGTGGAAAAGCTCAGAAAGATGAGCTTAATTAGGAAAAAAAATTAAAAGTCCCTTTTTTCTTATTTCTCCTGGAATAGGAGCTGGCCTGGATGGGATCAATGACATTTTCTCCCCTCTCCCTTGTCCTCAATCCCATAAAAACAGGTCAGGAAAGTTGCAGGATCCCTGATTTCCACCCTGGCCCAGCTCCTTTGAGGGGTCACAGCCCCGTAACTCAGACTGCAGTGATGATCCCAATAAAATTCCCATCTGGGGAGGATTTTCCAGGAGTTATTGCCGGCAATAAAACCCTGGTGAGGGGGTGATGGATCTGAGGGGGGAGCAGCTCCAGCTCCAGCAAAAGTGGCTCTTCAATGACGTTCTGGCCTCCCCTCCCAGCCTGACCAAGTGTTTGGGGCTGCTTGGAAGGGGAATCCCCCAAATCCTGGGAACAACCCCCCTTTCCCGGGTCAGCTGGGCGGGATCGGTGCGGGTCGAGGTGAGGAACGAACCGCTCCGGGTCTCCGGAGGGGCTTTCGGGGGCTGGGATGCTCCTGCCCCTCGGGGCTCCCGGGATGCCGCACCTTTGGGAGCTCCACAGGTGTCCCTTCATCCCTTCAATCCCATTTCCCTTCCCAGCCCTTCCCTGGGATCGGGGCTGGACGCGCGGATCCTCCTCACCCCCTTTCCCTGGAGCGGCTGCGGCTCCTCGGCCGCTCCCCCGGCGGGGAAATGGCCGCTGCTTCCAAACCTTGGGATGCGGAGCCGCTTTTCCAACCCCTCCGTGCTCCAAACGAGCTGGAAGCAAAACGTGACGCCCCGGGAGGGCGGCTGGATGCTCCCAGGAATCCCTTGGAAGGGTGGGTGTCGAGGTGCAGAGCCCGCCGCAGGTGGGTGGGCGCTTCCTCCAGCTGGATCCCCGCAGCCAGGAAAAAAACCGGGATAGTTCAAAATCCAGCTGCAGCTCCGGCTTGTTTC